GGGGTAGTGGTGGTGGTGATGGTTGTGATGGTGATAATAGAGATTGTGGGGTTTTTTGTTTTTAAATTTTCTACTTACATTTTTATTGAGCAGAGTAAGCCTGATTCCCCGATTGGACTTCTCTGTTGACATCCACCCCTTGGCGCTCATATGACCTTATGTAGTTGCAAGCGCCGTAAAACATCACAAAAACTAAATTAAAAACCACTTTTACCTCCTTTTACAAGCAAAAATGTTGTACTGCTCAGTTACATGTATTTCAAAGCAGGGCATTAAATAATACCTGTCACTTCCCGGGTGATCCCCACGGCCCACCAGAGGGCGATACCGTCCACTCGGGCAGCACTGGTCGCACACAGAACTTAAAGACTTATAGAAAGGGACCCGTGGCTGGTTATCTTCATCCCTCTCCCTCTCTCTCTCTCTCTTTTCCTCTCTCTTTTCCTCTCTCTCTCTCTCTCTCTCAGTGTGTCTTTTCTCTATCTGTATATCTCTCGTGTTTACAGATGTATGGACACATTCTTCTTTTAACAAATCAAAAGTTCACCTGTTGAGTTGTAGTAACATCAGCGCATTTCCCCAACAACAGATAACGCTGGTAATGACATGTGGAATAATCTAGTAAGAAAACCTAAAATAACTGGAAGTAGCCTACCTGGTAGTGGTTCTTGATCAGCGCAAACGTCCTCTCCTGGTCAAACTTCCGGGCCCTGAGGAAAGCCAACAGGAACTGGATGTCTGTCCGTGCCCGAAGACCTGTTAACAAAAGCGCGGGGGAGGGGGGGGGTGAGGAGATAGAGGTTAGATTCTATTATTTGATATTCTTGCATGAATTCAGCACCCCACTAGCCAAAAATGAGACACACAGAAATTGGTGTACTGATGCGTAGGTAAGAATCTAAGAAAATTTTAGGGAGGAATTGAAGATAAGGCCTTATAAAAATGAATATATACTGACAGGATGTGAAATGCTTTCTTTAAAAACCTAACAGTGTTTAAGGAAAATTTATTAAACGCCCTCTCTCACTCTCCCCCTCCCCCCTCCACTAACCCGGCACTTTCTCCAAACGTTTCCTAAGTTCTTCACCTCCAGTAGCCGTGTGTCTGGGTCTTCCCT